TAATAGCATTATTGAAGTCTGAAATTAATTCGCTAACCCAGTTCGCTTCTCCCCGATGTTCTTCCTTACGGCGTATCTTATTACCGTTAGTGAAACACGCCGAAACTAACTTGTGCGCCGAATAAGACCAAAATTATTCATATCGTTATCGTCAAGATACAATGTCGAGCTTGAGCCGAAGTCAACAAAGCGATAAGCATTTTTCTTCCAATCAGTTTAGCACAGCTGGAGGAAGTCAATCTTGCAACTGTAACAGAAAAACAGTAAAAAACTGTATATAAAAAAACGCTAATTTATTTTATCCATTACCTTGTAGGATAACACCAGCACTATTTGAAAGGGGGGTTATCCCGATATTTGGGTCTTAATGGTGTGGATTGGACGCGAATTAAAAAGATTGCAACGGATTAACGTAATAAGTAAAACAATTTGTTGTGATGAGACTTTACTGTATTGACATTCGTCATTACTACTTAGGAAACGAAAAATGACGATACTAGTTATAATATTATTATTAATAAATTTTGCTACAGTATTTGTAAAGTAATTGCCTCCTGCTTTTTTAAATATTGTTTTCTTGCCAAATGAAAAGTTAAATATTCATTTGCTTTGTTTGGAAAAGAGTAAAGTTACAAACCGGTATAGGCATACAGTATACACCGTCATACAGTGATTAATAAATGCTCACTATTACTGTGTCAGATTTAATATCATCGAACTTTGCCTATAACCAGTAATAATATATTTGTATCAACGAATATATGTAGTTTGCAAGAATATATCATTAAAAAGGGGATAATGAAAACAATTAATGACATTCGGAATAAACTAACCTTATATATTACCGGGACAGCGAGAGATCAAAACTATGTGGGGGCTTTGCCCCCAGAAGCGGTTGTTATATGTGTTTGTGAGGGTTTTGGTGTCAGTTAACATCAATGATTATGTACGTAACATTATAAAGTTATGCAAATTAATTATAATATATCGATATTATATTTGTGAGCGTAACGTAATATTATCATTATTAACAACAATAATAACAATATTAATACATAATGTATGCTAGAAAAGTTACTACCTCTTGTAGATTTAGTCTAGACAATTGATTTTATACTAATATGATATTAATGTTAAACACTAACTGTTCTAGTTGTAATTGACTCATTAACTTAATTAACCCAATTTGTTAAATGAAGGTCTAACATCATGAAATTGTACGTTATAATTATTATTCCAATTTCCTATAAAAGGGTACGTTTAGTTTTGTCAACGCTAGACTTGCAATTTTGTTCGTTGGGTATTGAGCGCAGTTGTCGTTCTTTAGGTTCTACTGTATTTACCTTTTGATTTCTGGTCACTTTCTATAGTGAATACGGAATCTGTATCGTGTTGCTTTGTTGACGTTGGTTATCAGTTTCGATGTATATATTTTTTTTGTGGTAAAGGGGAAGCTGGTGTTTTTAGTTATCGAAAAGGAAAAGTATTGAAAGAAAAGAAATCAAAGTTGTGAAGCTCTACGTAGAGTTTATTATCGTAGATATCTAGTTTACCCACTATTGATACTTTGGAGCCAATTTTTGCTTTCTTTGTCCAGATTTTTTTTTATCAGTATAGTGCCGAATTATAATATCAAATTCCAAGTGTAGAGCTGGTGCAGAAAATCTATTTACGGGAATTGGAAGATATGAGCCATTGGCTTTATCGTATATATTAATATGTATATATATGGTAATTTACTGTATTGGGTATACTTTATTAATCACTTAGGAAATTTGTAGTATAGTATAATAGGCAACAAACGATGAGTAAACTAAATAGGTTATTTAAGATATGCACAACTATGTCTGGCGGATGTACGGGAGAAGGAATGAAAAATTTTTTGAGACATGGGTTTACTTGAGGTCAGACCAGTAGGAGATGTTTGGGAATTATGCGCAAGCAAACGCGAAGCAATAGAATGATAAGCCGATAGGTAAGGATAATTTTGTTGCAGCCAGTCGCAAGCATAACGCAAGGATGGATGATACCAACAATTAAGAGAACAAATCAGCATTTGTAGAAATGCGCCAATAATGTTTGAATAAAGTGAATGTTTTTCTGTTTTTAGAATAACTCATTTGACCGACGAGCAATCGATATTCACAAAAAAATTTGCACCAGCGGAACGACCTAACTGGTATGTAAGTAAATATGAGAAAGACATTTTCTTGCTGAATATGGTACGTCATAGATACATTGAGGTATTGAAGTGTTAAGCATGTGAGATTATTAGAATTTGATTTGCATCCATCACAAATTGCAATTTTTGCTGGGTTGCGTGGTAAGATTTATTTGAAAAGATGTTTGCAAAGAATAAATAGTGTCATTATTTCTGACTACCCATTTTGCAGATTGCGAGTATAATTTAAGCGTAAAAACAATAAAAACAGGAAACGCGTAATCCTCTTCATAAAGCAAGCGTAAGACTTTTTGTAGTAGTTCATCGGAAGGACACCAATATGTGGTGTTTAAAGAATCATAAGTCTGGAAAAGTGGTATTTCAGATAATAGAATGTGAGGTAAAGATGACACAAATCGATGGTCATTAATAGACCGTGAATTAGTAACGTTATAAAAAACCATTTTGTTTTCTTGAAGAGAATCGATGGGTAAATATATCGAGCATTATTTTCTTTTAAACTGATAAATAGATTATTGTATCGTACCGGTGTGTTATTACTTGCAAAATGATAGGATATATATATAGGTTTTACTCATGTGAGTCATATCCGTCTTATTTCAACACGATTAATTTTAAATGAGAACTGTGCGACGAAGACATGCGGGAATTTATGACAGTGATGATGTTAGAAAATGACTGATTATGACCATGTACAAAATAAGATGTCGAAATAAAATAAGAAACAAATAAGATGAGGATAAAATGTATAAATATACTCCAAGCTTGGGTATAGTCAAGTATCAAGTATATAGATATACGTAAAATCCCCCGAAAGATCTACACAAAAAGGGGTCGTCTAAAGCGGGGGCAACACAAGAAATCAGTCCAATTAAATTTCGAAGATTGGCGATCTAATTACAAGATCACGTGTAACATATAAAGTTCAAACAAGCCAAAAAGAAGAAAATTCAAAATTTTACTATAATAATTAGCCATCCCCGATAAATAGGTATTTGTTAGTTAATGCGAAAAATAATTTAGGAAGTGAAGAACATGAAGAACGAATGATTATCAAGAATATGTCAAAACAGTAAGTTTATGCAACAAATTTTGGCGATGAAAAGGTACTTTATGTTAATAAATTTAGATGCAATTAGTGTATGTTCTATTAATTTATCTAATCTAAGAACACTTGTTACAATGCTTGTTTATGCAAAACGTCTAATTGTAAATTGGTAAATTATTTACAGACTAAGGATGTTGTAAAAATTGAGTAAACGCGGTTGCATTGACATCGTTCCGACCCAAACTGCCCAAATTCCAGTTATCTATAAGAGTTTTCAATACCGAATTATGGGTATATTGTGTAGTATCCTCATGAGTGCCCGATGTAACAGGAGTACCGAGGAGACTAGAAAAGATATGATTGGAAAGCGTCTCGTCCTCGTCGAAAGTGATGAAAAACAGTGTGCCATTAGCAAAGTTTGGATTTTTGAGTCTCTCTTCAAACCAAGGTTGGAACCAGTTCATGGCAAAGTCCAAGCCGGTGTCATGGCCATCATTTTGTAAATTTGGGACGTAATAAGAGAATTGTGGCAAGCCTTCTTGTGAAGCCAGGTCGGTGTCAATTCCGTCGGCGTTAACGATATTTGCACAGCGTGCAGAGTTGGAGCTGATGTCTGTCATACTGATAAACGGATTATGTTTTCGTACGTAGAGCCCAGACTTTGCACCTGTGAAACAATTACCAGCTAAACCAAGCATGGAAAAATTCTCAGTAAAAGTGTGTAGAGACAGCGCCGCCGCCGAGAGATGTGAAATCTAAAGACCACTTACGATAATCTTGCATATAGGCCTTCCAACTTATCCCTTTGGCTTCCAAAAGATCAATTAAATTATTTCCATCCACGTCATGCACTCCGTCGTCAGTAATACCAGCAGTTGAACCGTAAATCGTTGAAATGTAATTGGGCTAAAATATAATAATAAAAAATCATTGTCTTCAATTTAGAGGGACAGATTTTATCGTTGGACATCAAGAGAGATATAAAGATTGAAGCGTAACCTGGGATGGATGCGCAATACCAGAATAACTGCTCAGAAAGACGCTATTGTTACGGCTGATCAAGCTTTTTAGATAACTGTTTTGTGTCGCCGCATCAAAATTTGTATTTTCGAAAATTATAAAAAAAAAGCGATCAAAGTATGTTCCCGGAACAATAGCCGTCGTCGCCGTACTAACTAGAACCAAGAAGATAATAGCGAGTGCTGATAATTTTATCATCGTTGTGATTAAAAAAGTAAGAGTTGTGATGAATGGTGGGGATTTCAGCTCGTATTATATATTCGAATAAACATCTTTTTTACAAAAAAGGTCGACAGGCCTAATAGTTGTCGGCCGTATTACCTAGCAAAAGTAATGGAAAAATAAGTAAACAATGGAACCTTAGAGACGATAATCTTGATTAGTTAAGGTCATCGTACCGGAGATCATTAGCACGAGTGCAATCATTACAAAGGCCCGGTATGCTATAGCGAATAATAGTAGACAAACGAGAAACGTGCTATATTAATATTAATGTGCGAGTATGAACATTCAAATCATTTTACAATGTTTCCCTTGTTCAGGGTCTTTTTTGTTGTTGATCAAATCAGGATGACCGGGAATTACAAGTACATATGAATACCACAAAATATGAAATAACGCACGTACAGACTTGCATTCTTTATTTGTTCGTTTGACGTAATTCAACCGAAATTATGTAACTAATCTCAATAAAATGTTAATTTGGTTTATTGTTTCAATGAAAGTCTACTACTACGGTATGTATAGATGAAGGAGATTTCGGTCATGTCTCACATGCTAGCATCATTAATATGCTACAAGACCAAATTAATCCATCGGTGATGCAGTATGCTCTATATTTGTTACACACAAACGAAATCAGGGTCGGTTATGCAAACGTTTGAGATATCTTATTATTATGATATCGACCATGTGACTCTACTTCTTTCACATTGTCTCATAGCTTGTCTGTTGTGACATTTGCAATATTGAGCAATGGTGAAGACGACATCATTTAGTTATGCCGTAGTATTTTATGTCATTATTTAGCGATCATGTCACAGGGATAGGCATTATAGAAAAACAACATCTTTTAGCAAAACGTCTATTAAACCTTGTCCATTAAATTCGTCCATTGACTCTTTGAGATTATAAAATTATTGCCAAGGGTTCTTCATGCACAAAGATAATCCGAGTATGTTACATGTGTAACGGATAATTTCCGTATCGTGTGACCCGAAGCAAGAATATAGTCTGTAGTCCGGTTATAGTCACTAGTTGTCCAAGTTCGCTGGTGGTTTATTGCCAAAACTGTTTCACATGAGGAACTGTAAGTCTCGCATTTACTGCCACAGTAAACTCTCGTCATGAATAAGGGTCCGTCATATGATGGGCCTCTTATTCGTGAGATGTACGTGTGACAAACTGCATATATCGAATACGACATTTATTGATTGATCACGGGTCAGCTATTTCACAGCCTTATTCATTTTTTTCATATGGAGGTGGTGGCGGTAAGAATAAACCTTCAAATGCGTTAGATAACGTGTTTATTAAATCTTGTATAAAAAGAAATTTAACAAGGCAATAAAGTTGTAATATTTCTAAAAGCACAAACATTAGTTTTAAGGGAAAATTGGTATCGGTTAAAAGCCAAAAAAGCTAGTGCTTGTAGCGAAAGGAGATTTTTCTCAAAAGAAAAACAGTATATATACAAACTTGATCACTTGACTGTTCTGCCAAAGATTGAAGAAAACGTTTAACCCAACTGTTGATCGTCGGAGTAATACTGGATTGCAATAGTCGGAAACGCCAGCAACTTATGGGAAGTCTTTTTGCTATTACTATTTAATCAAATTTCGTTTAACCAACCAAAAGCAATTCGCATTTAATTAAAATTACTTGCTATCACAAAAGAGCTGCCCGATCAACTTGCGATAATCTACTGGGGCCAAATTTGAACATTTCCTGCTTGTTTTATTGTGTCTTGTTTACTGCAAATATCTCTGTCAAAAAGGAAGAATTAATTTGCTTTGTGGAATGGTAAGTCGGGTAAATCCGCAATTAAAACCGAGATGTCTACTTATAATGTTATTAAAAGATAAAAGTCTTGTTAAATAGAAACTCTTGTCATCTAAAACCTATTAATGTTAATTTTTAAACCTTATAATTATCTGTTGACCCTTTATCAATCCTAAGTCATCTGACTATCAATCGATCAGAATGTTTGCCATAATTGTCAACAAAATGCTGAATTTTTAGCATAATAAATTGTGGCTGATAACAAGGACTAATAAACAGTTTATAAGAAATGTCTCGAATTACCGATCAAGAAGTTGTCTTTAGCTCACAATATTTAGCTACTTTAGACCCGAATAGTAAACAACATATCTATACAACAATTTTAATATTACTTGTCACTGAAGCGTAATTTTAGTTTAATAGAATTAAAAAAGCCTGTCCAAATTTTATCTTAGTGGCTGAACTGATAGCAACATGGTGAATATGGGCTTAAAAATGCAATGTCCATAAATTATGAAATTCGAGACGTTATTTTCCAAAATATTCTTTGTCAGTGACTGATACGGACCCATTTATAACACATATTTTTTTTAAAAAAAAACCTAGTGTATAACCCGTCACTTCGTTAACAGTGTGGTTATTTTATATTTTACGTTTATACCTTTATTATATATTATATTACCAAAAAAAGGTAATTTAGTAGAATATAGTAGAAATCTAAAAAAAAGATGTATAAGCTATAATAATGTCTGAGTATAACCTGATGAAAAGAGCATTAGTAAAGGATAAAAAGGTACAGAAAATAAAGAAAAAGAAATTAAAAGAGAAGGTTAGAATGCCTACAAAAAGAGAAAACAATGTTAGTAAATGAAAAAAAAAATGAGTAATAAGAAAGTAAAAAAAAAGTATTATGACTGTAATATTTCTGTGTATACGATATTTTGAGTTATCCAGCGTTTTCATGTTGTCCTATTGTTAGTATCTTAAGATGCATAATATTACATCATTGTAATTGTGACATGTCTTCTTTGAGGCTTAATATTAGTGCTGTTTTCATCAATTTCATGTTGCTTTTCAACATAAAAAAAAAAGCTTGTGCATTATCTCAGATTGGAATTGTTGGATGCCATCCATCTTCCCCTCTTGGAAAAAGAAGAACATAATGCAATGGTGCATATGCTCTATGCAACTCGAATATACACTGTAAACCTTCCTCATGTGATTGTAAAACAATATCATGATTGCATACATTAGTATTAGATGGATTATTATTATTACCCACTATTACTATAATAGCAGCAATTTCAGAAGTAGTTGGAACATTATAACTATAACATTATAAATCTATCATTCTTGAATCTGTTATTATTATAGTCACATTTGAGATAGACTCTGTTGAAACAATCTACCTGTCTGCTGAAAAACTTGTACATATGAGTTAATATCATGAAGCAGATTTATGATTGCCACTTTCATATAGGGGGGGCCTTATTCATGGTGGGCTCTTATTCATGAGAGTTTACAGTAATAATTATATGTGTAAATGCACAGAATAACAATTTAAAGTTGGATGATGGGATAACATAATTAAATGGATATGCAGTTTACTATTTTCGTGTAAACAAAAAGATGTTGCCAATGAACTAGAACGTTGTTAACGGAGCTGTAACTTACTCGTGTTTAATTTAAATTTGCATCTCATTTGTACACAATTTATGTACATGTCATTATTTGACTGACAATGATTCTGCATTAGAAAATAGTAAATAAAAGGCAAACCACATTATTCTTGTATTCTGAGTAATGTTTTAAAAGTCTAGTCTATCGCCAATAAATAAACAGTCATTTTAAAGTAATAGTAACGGATAAATTTATTAATTGTCAATTCACAGAATAAAAAAGTTCAAGTATGTACTGCGGCTAGTCATAGCTACAATGCACACCAAACAACAAGGCAAGAAAGTAAACATGCATACTGTGGAGTCAATGACTGTAATTGACAATTACCAATTAATTTGTGAAATTTTCAACTTTATTAATAATTCTGTTTGCCTAATACACTCACTACCAAAAAGTATTGGCCGAAATTTGTCGATCAATAGTAAAACATATGAAAAATCCAATTTTTCA